CCCCTTTGCCTCTGCCATGATTCTAAGTTTCCTGAGGCCTCCCCAGAAGCCAAGCAGATGCCACCATGTTTCCTGTACAGCCCGCAGAACCGTCCACCAATTTTGTTATAAATTACCCAGTCTCAGGTATTTCTTTATAGCAGTGCAAGAACATACTAATACACACACAGATGCTATGTCAACAGGTAAGGGCAACACTCATATTCACATTGATAAATAAGATTCCAGGGATTAGGATGTGGATACATCTTTTTAGGGGGTCTTATTTATCAATGTGAACATGAGTGTTACCTTATTTGGAAAAAGACTCTTTGCAGATGTAATGAAGGATCTTCAGATAAAGAGATTATCCTACATTAGCCAGGTAGACCCTAAGTCTAATGATAAATGTCCTTATGAGAAAGAGTGGCAGATTCTTCTGCAGTGGCAGATTACATCTACCGAAGAGGAAGAGGCAATGTCAAGACAGGCGGAGGTTAGAGCAATGCAGCTGCAAGCCAAGGAATGCCTGGAGCCACCAGAAGCTAGAAGAGTCAGGGAACAAATTCTTCCCTAAAGCCTCTGGAGGGAACACAGCTCTGCTGATACTTTAATCTTGAACTTGTGGCCTCCAGAGCTGAAAGAGGATACATTTCTGTTGTTTTAAGCCACCAAGTTTATGGAAATTTCTTATGTCAGTCAAAGGAAACTAATACAATTGATAATAGTAATAGTGTGTTAGTCCACCTGAAGATGCTAGAAATAGGCCCTCACTGGTCAACTATGAAGACTAATTGGAATAATCGAGAGATATTCGTCATCTTTGCATACACTGAGTATAAGAATCTAGCAAAGACCTTCAACTTGGACATGTAGGTACGGCACAGAGACTTGATCTATGAACAATCCCTTGCTGAGCTAGGGTCTGGAAAATTCCAGTTGCTTGAGCTATGGGTCTGGAAAAATCCAGTTGCTTTTGTTCCTATAAATGGACAAAAATCCTGCTCATGGTATAATATTAAATCTGTATTGAGTGAATCTTGCATAGCATGTAGTGGTCGAAGCACCTAGGAGGACAGAGCTGGAACTCTCTGAGTATATAAGAGCCAGTAGCAGGAAGAGTATGTTTTCTGTTTGCTAAAACATGCTAGTTCAGTGCTGTGGGACAACATTTGATGGGAGTGAGCTAATATTGGCTACTGTTGGGTTGCAAAGAGAACTTAAGACTAACTAGTGTGTGCTATGGTTTGAATGCGTCCCCTCTAAAATTCAGGTGACCTCAGGGCAACGATATTGGGAGGCACAGCCTTTGGAAAGTAACTGAGTCATGAGAGCTCTGCCCTCGTGAATGGAATTAGGTGCTCTTATAAAAGGACTTGACAGAGTTTGCCCCTCTTTGCCCGTGTTCCTCTGCCTTGTGAAGACATAGCACACCCCCTGGAGGATGCTGCATTCAAGGTACAAGAGTGGAGCAGAAGAGGCCAGACCTCACCAGACAATGAACTTGCCAGCACCTTGGTCTTGGACTTCCCAGCCTCCAGAACTGTGAGAAATTTCTGTTCTTTATAAATTACCCAGTCTCAGATATATAGCAGCACAAAACAGATTAAGTGTGTGACCTAAGCAGCTTAGATGAGTTCTACAAAGGCCCAAAGGTCTCAAGAATCCTGAAACACTGGGAGACCCTATCATCACTCACCCTGGTTAGCAAGCAGATGCCCACTGTCAAGGTCTCCATGGTCCCTTGAGTCAGGTGGCTGGGTTACTCTCTTCCCAAGTGGGAGTCTGATGGCGTTTGCTATTGCTGGGAACACAGGTACCTGGAGTCTTCCTCCCTGGTTTGCTACCAGCCTTTCCCTGCTGAGTCTCCCCAGGGAGAAACTCACAGGCCCACAGTGCTTTCAGCCAGCCCCCTCTGTTGCCCTTCAGGTCTTCAGAGGCTGTTAGCTCTGAAATTCCACCCTCCTTCCTCATCCCACGCTCCTCTGTCCCCTCTTCCTCTTGGACCCCAGTCACAATCTCGCCCAAGACATTATGCCAAGAGACTTCCACAAAAGCTGAGGGCAGAGCTGTCCTCTGGCAACCTCACCCATAGGAGAAAGTACAATTGTGTGGGCTAATCCCCTTGGAGTGAGGAGAAGGGAAAAATTCTGGAAGAATATTATACAATGAAGAAATTAAATTTTCCTGACACAGATGCAAAGTGCTCAAACAGTGCTAGCTACACACTGCATGAGTCCTATTAATGCCTGTCAACATCCATCAGGTCACACTGCCTATGAATGGTGTGTACGCATGGGCAACCACACATCTGTTTGGCTCAGTCATGCATCCTCAAAGCCTAGCAGAGTTCCTGGCACATGGTGGGCATTTAATAAACATTGTTCAAAAACAATTAGTTATTTCACAAATGAACATTGCAGAGTTTTCCAGCAACTTGTGCAAAGCTAAAAACGTGATTACATACAAGATCTACAATGTGGATAAAAACCAAACAGTTGCTAAAGAAAAATACAACTATTTCTTTTGCTGACACCAGAGTGAAATTTCCCCCATGTATCTTCATAGACACATTTTTATTCTTTCTACTTTTCTGCATTTTCCAAAATGTCTATAATGAGCAGATCGTAATTGTATTTGGGGAAAAATAAGTGGACCTTCTAAAAACATAATTCCTTTCACATGCACCTTTCCCGCTACCTACTTTTCCTGTTAGTTTTGGAGACAGAGCGATGCCTAAGTTCCCCCACATATATGCTCCTACTTGGCCCCACTTGTTAGAACCTCATTTGTAGAAAGTAGAAGAAAGTAGATCTAAGAGGCTTCTAAGAGTAGTTAATTATTCTTTCTAATCCCTCCCAGAGCTCATGGGTGGTATGCCAGGGAAGCCTAAGTGCTTTGGTTCCTTTATTCATTCCCCCTAAGCTTCTGGGTAAGGGTAATTTTCCTGCCGTGTATTTATATATCTCTCATAAATGAGAGATAAAGGGAGTAAATGCCTGCAGTGGGGAGCAGTGAACGCCGTGAGTCTGCAGAGGAAGCAGTGAATCTGCACAGAAGGAGGACATTTGGGGCAGTGTCTCATAAGCCTGCCCAGAGGATTGTGTCCACTGGGCAATCCTACCCATAGTTTAGACACATGCCCTTGAAATTGTGTCTCTAGAGGGAGTTCTCTCAGGGATGGCGGTTCTGGGGGTTGTCACCATTTCAATGACATGAGGGGGTTGGCAGTGAAAACCAGACCTAAGTCAACTTTGCCAGCACCTTCCATACCATGGAGGTCCTCAGAGGGCATCTGGAGGGTTACACTAGGGTGGGAGCTATTCCTTTTCAGGAGGAAGAATGCAGAGTTGCCAAGCAGCAGAGAGGGACCTGCCCACCTCAGCATTAACACGCCAATGCCCAGTATACCCCTCTGCAGCGTTCTACATTCTCCACTGCCCTTGTGAAGAAACAGGAGGAAGTAACTGACTCATCCATTGGAAGAAACATTTAGGTCACTACAAGAAAAATCTTCCTGACCCGGGCACAGTTGAGACACTAGAAGAGGCTCAGAGGATAGATGGTACGTGAATCCCGGGAGGAGGTGGAGATGAGGCTTGTCGCTTATTCTGACTGAGGGAACTGAGCCGCAGATGAGCCACCTGAGTTACAGGTGGGGTTATCCAAGGTGAGGGGCTGCATTGGAGACTGGTCTTGACTGTGAAGACATTAGAGACCCTGAGTTCAGAGGGGAAGGCAAAGCCAAAGAATGTATCAAAAACTGCAAAAGCTTGGGAGGCCAAGGCGAGCGGATCACAAGGTCAGGAGTTCGAGACCAGCCTGGTCAACATGGTGAAACCCTGTCTCTACTAAAAATACAAAAATTAGCCAGGCATGGTGGCAGGCACCTGTAATCCCAGCTACTTGGGATGCTGAAGCAGGAGAATTGCTTGAATCCAGGAGGCAGAGGTTGCAATGAGACGAGATCATGCCATTACACTCCAGCCTATGCGACAAGAGCAAGAATCTGTCTCAAATTCCCAGCTACTCAGGAGGCTGAGGCAGGAGAATGGCAAGAACCTGGGAGGCGGAGCTTGCAGTGAGCCGAAATTGCACCACTGCACTCCAGCCTGGGCGACAGAGCAAGACCCCATCTCAAAAAAAAAAAAAAAAAAAGCAAGCACACTGATTGTCAAAACACCAGAAAACAAATCAGGACATTTTCAACTTTGATGGGATGGGAGTCAGGCATGGGCATCTAAGTCGGGGACAGAATAAGAAGTGCTTGGAGGCCAGGTGCGATGACTCACGCCTGTAATCCCAGCACTTAGGGGAGCCAAGGCGGGTGGATCACCCGAGGTTAGGAGTTCAAGACCAGCCTGGCTAACATGGCTCTGTCTCTACTAAAAATACAAAAATTAGCTGGGTGTGGTGGCTCACTCCCAGTTATTCGGGAGGCTGACACAGGAGAATCGCTTGAACCCAGGAGGCAGAGGTTGCACTTAGCTGAGATTGCGCCACTGCACTCCAGCCTGGGTGACAGTGAGACTTTGTCTCAAAAAAAAAAAAAAAAAAAAAAAAAAGAAGTGCTTGGAGCCAGAACTAGCAGCAAAGCAGCAAATGAGGACAGAGTTTGAATGTAAATGAGTCAAGGAATGAATGAACGAGGGCTAGTGTCATGAGCGTGGTGCTGGAATGTGCCTAGCAGATAGCTTTTGTGCTCCTACCAAAGGCTGATGGGAGATAAATAGGGGAAATTTCACTCTGGTGTCAGCAAAAAAAAAAAAAAAATAGTTGTAGTTTTCTTAAGCAACTGTTTGGTTTTTATCCACAAATATTGTAGATCTTGTATCTAATCATGTCTCTAACTTTGCATGAAGACAGGGATTTATCCCAGCCTGAGGGCCAAGGGAAGAACCCACATAGAAATAGCTCAGTGGTAAGGGTGACTGGCTTTGTTGGGCGAGTGTGTGGTGGTGTCCCTGTGGCTGGACACGATTGGTGTTTTGCAGCATCTTCATATCCGCTAACAGGTCAAAATGCAGATCTTCGTGAAGAGCCTTACCTGCAAGACCATTGCCCTTGAGGTGGAGCCCAGTGACATCACCGAAAATGTGAAGGCCAAGATCCAGGATAAGGAAGGCATTCTCCCCGAGCAGCAGACGCTCATCCTTGCAGTCAAGCAGGTGGAAGATGATCGCACTCTTTCTGACTATAACATCCAGAAAGAGTCGACGCTGCACCTTGTCCTGTGTCTGAGAGGTAGTACGCAGATCTTTGTGAAGACCCTGATTGGCAAGACCATCACCTTGGAAGTGGAGCCCAGTGACACCATCAAAAATGTGAAAGCCAAGATCCAGGATAAAGAAGGCACACCCTACCCCCAGCCCTGACCAGCAGAGGCTCATCTTTGCAGGCAAGCAGCTGGAAGATGGCCGCACTCTTTCTGACTATGACATCCAGAAAGAGTCGACCCTGCACCTGGTCCTTCACCTGAGGAGTGGCTGTTAATTCTCCAGTCTTACATTCACAGTGCCCAGTGATGGCATTACTCTGCAGTATAGCCATTTGCCTCAACTTAAGTTTAGAAATTACAAGTTTCAGTAACCGCTGAACCTGTTCAAAATGTTAATAAAGGTTTTGTCGCATCGTTAAAAAAGAAAAGAAAAGAAAAGAAAAGAAATAGCTCAGTGTTGAGGAAAGGCCTGGATCATTATTTCAAAAACTCCACTTCTCAGAATGCTTGTCCTTGAATAAACAATTTCTCAATAAAATAATGTAAGGAGAAACTGTATATTATGGCCCCATCTTGGAGCTCCATAACACACTTCAGTTTACGAAAGGCTCTGAGAGGAGCTACGCCAGAGAAACCTGTTGAATGAAACACTTCCCAAATGGAAGGGACATGCAGATTTCTCTGCCCTACTTTTTAAAAATTTCTCCCATAAAACACCAATTAATACCTTATAGGACACGAGCCCTCCTCTGAATACACGTTGGAGAAAGCTGACCTTGGTCAATGGCCCTGATCAAAGGTAACACCTAAAAGCATTATATATATATTCTCTCTCTCTCTTTCCTTCTTTACCTTCTCCCTCTTTCTTTTATTCAATCTCCCTCCCTTCTTTCTTCCTCCATCTTTCCTGTCTTCCCTTCATCTAGAAATTTTCTTTCATTTCTCTCTTCTTCTCCCTCACCTTCTCCAGCAATGTGCTAAGACTGCAATGCACTGGGACTTCCAGGGGTCCCCTGGAAATTCCTTGGGCCTAAGAGCCAAGGTTCCACCATAGCTGCAGCTGAACTGGTTTGCCCTCAACCCAGGAGTCATCCAGAGATTCCTATCTCAGCAATTTGCAAATGGTACTAAGGCCTCTGCACTGTTCCCAACAATGGTCCAATTAACTGCTAGTTGCATTTCACCGGCCAACTGGAAGGTTAATTGGCTCACATGACAAGGATGGAGAGTAACCTGCACCCCATTAAATCGGTCTGCTCTCAGTACCATTCCACTGTGCTTTCCGCCCGTTTTCACATGTTCACGAAGCTTCCAAGAGACAAGTAAAAGACCCAGGTTTAAAGAAGAGGAATGGCTTCTCATTAGCCATTGTATCTAGAAGCCTGCATTTTCACCCTGTTGTCTGCCTTCCTCCCCGAGGCAAACACAGGCAGTCATCCACCATTTCTGTGGTTTTAGATCCATACAGAAATTAATCAAATGCTCTGCACTTTTGTCATTTAATGGATTCACATAGGGTTCTGGTCATCTGTGGACATACTTGCTTTTTATTTCTGAAAAGCTTTGGCTGAGAAGGTTTTTGGTTTGTTCTTTTAAAACACACACATACACATTTATAGTCTCTAAGACTTCTCAAATAATTACCAGACCGCCGACTCTAACACGCTGTTTCATCATATTCAAACTGACTGCCCGGGTGGAAATCTATATTCTCTCTCTTATTAAGAACCGATTTCCCTTGAGTAATATCTGCCCTGCTATTTTACTCTAGGTAATATTGATCTTCCCACTCTCCTCCAAAGCACCTTGCAGAGTGCCAATAATTTTGTAAAAGAAACCTTTTATTAATGAACTCCCCACAGCTTAATTGTTTAGATAAGTTAAAAAAAAAGAAGAAGAAGAAGAAGAGGAAGACAGGAGAAAGGGAGCAACAGTTGACAAACTTTTATTTGCACCAGAAGTCTGGCCACCTGTGGAGTGGTTTATAGGGAGTCGGGGGTGTGGAGTGAGTGGGTGGCACTGCTATAAACAAAGATTCAACCAGCTGCCTGAGAGCTCTGAGTCACACAGAGCAAGCAGGATGTCCCACTAAGATACAGATTGTTTGATTACACCCGGAGACAATGGCACCAAGCCCAGCAGGGACTGATGCATCAGGGCCAATCTCTTCACTCACTGTCCCAGCGATGCAGAGGGGCCCCCACCAAGAAAACCCAGGAAGCATTGAGTGTGGCTGTGGGCTGATGTGTCCTGTATGTTTGACGTAAACAGGAGTGTATTTTCTCCCAAGATCAGCCTCTGTACAAAAAGATTAAATCAGTCCTCTACAGAGGAACTGGTTTCGTCATGCTGACCCATGTGAATGCTGTCGAAAGTTCTTCAGAATGAAGCTAATCAAAGTGAAAGTGATGACAGGACAGATCATACTCGAAATCCCAGTGACCTGACCACAGGAGGAGCCCCACCACCGAAACCCTGCAAGGAGGTCAGCAGCGAGACCAGGGCAGGTGCCTGGCAGAGGCCTCCACATCTGCTGCAACCTGGACTCTCCCAGCCTCAGCAAAAGGGACTTTGTGGCCACAGCTGCAGTTTATTTCACATTCTATAATGATAGCAACCAGGCAGAAGTGACTGTGGACTGAGCAAAACCATCTTCAAATTTGCTTTTATCCTGGCATAACAGATTTAAGTTAACCAGCTATTGATTAAGTAGAGAACATAAGATAGTTAAACCCACTGTATGTTCTTCCTCAATATCTACCCCTTTTGTCTGTTATTATGCCAGAAATTCTCTCAACTGGGAACAATGTAATGTTAAGATTTTTAAAGCCAATAACACTGTGGTTTACATTAGTTTACCTGTATGTTTGGTTGGATGGATGATGGATAGATGGAAGGAAGAGACGATGGATGGATGCGTCAACCTATAATAAAATATGAAAAAATAATTTAGAGTCAGAACCGTCCATTTGTGAAAAATAAAATTTAAAAGCTGTTAGAACCCAAACTTTCTCTTTTCTTTTTTTTCTTTTTTTTTTTTTTTTTTTTTTTTTTTTTGAGACAGAGTTTCTCTCTTGTCGCCCAGGCTGGAGTACAATGGTGTGATTTCGGCTCACTGCAACCTCCACCTCCCAGGTTCAAGCGATTCTCCTGCCTCAGCCTCCCAAGTAGCTGGGATTACAGGCACCTGCCACCACGCCTGGCTAATTTTTGTATTTTTAGTAGAGATGGGGCTTCACCATGTTGGTCAGGCTGATCTCGAACTCCTGACCTCAGGTGATCCACCCGCCTCAGCCTCCCTAAGTGCTGGGATTACAGGCTTGAGCCACCACGCCCAGCTGGAACCCCAACTTTCAAGAGAGTTTATTCAACTGCAGTTTGAAGATGGCCTACCCAGAAACATCAATTCCAAAGGAATGGAGTCAGAGTTTAAAATACAGAAGTTATGGTTTCATTTATATAGGCAGAAACAGAGGAGTTTTTAGCAGGATTACAGCATTTTTCATACAAAGTTGGCACATAGTTACAGCCCCTTGATTGGTTATAGGCAGTGTTTCTTTTTGTAAAGGGTGCATTTGTCACCTTTTACAGAGGGTGTAATAGTCATGGGCTGTCTGTCATCTGGTCTAAGCAAAGCAACACAACACAGGGCAAGTTAGTCTGTAACAATGGTCATCAATTTAGAAGGCAGGAGGTTTTTGTCCTTGAGGTCATTTAATTGCCTCTAGCCATGATAGAGAACAAGAAATATAAGAAAAATAGTTAATCTATAATCTGAGAAACAAAAGTAGCAACTGTATGTGACTCAAATCACAGTCACATCTCTCAGTGTTTTGGGGGGTTCCAACAGCTTTTAAATTTCACTTCTCACAAATGGATGGTTGGATGGGTAGATGACAGGATAGATGGGTGGATAGAGGAATGAAGAACGAGAGAAGAGAAGGTAGGCTTAGACTCCAGAAAATGTAGAACAAGAAAGTAGAGCATGAGATCCTGCCAAACAGGACACATTTTGGAGGAATGTGGAGATTGGCTAAGAGATGAAAATCCGGGGATCCGGGGAGCGGGGGCCAAAAATGAATATCTTCTTCTCAGTTTTAACAAAGTATCTTTTATAGTCAAGACTTTTGCTGCTTGTAGGATCTTACACCATCAACTGGTATCATTTCATTCAGCCATTTATTCAACTACTACACTAATTCCTTCCCTTCTCCAACTCATGGAATGTAAAGGAAAAGGACCCAGAGGGAGTATTTTCTGGTTAAAAGTGTTTAGTAATTAGGCCAGTTAATAGAACTTTAGAGACCTCACTTTTTCAGGGGTTGCTATGAGGCGTGGTGGAAGCATACACCCTCAGCAGCTGGAAGACCTGCATTTTCTCAACCTATCGAGAGCCTTCAGCTCCTCTGGCATACATGAATCCTCTTTTCCTGCTGCTCTTCTGAGTGCTTTACTCCACTCATTAATACGTCCCTAAAGATGAAGTGAAAAGGAAGAGGAAGTATGTTTCAAAACCCTACCATTTTGCAATGTTGACAGTAGAAAGATACAGTGAAAGGGTTAAAAAGTTGGTTAGAATGGCACTGAGGGTCAAGTGAGGACTTCCTTTAGTGACCCCTGACCCTATGAGCAGATACAGGAGTTGGTGAGAAACACCATCCTGCAGATTCCACCTGGAGTCACCTCCTCCAGGGAAATTCCCACATACTCCAGATTTTGCTGATCCTTTCCAAAACATGTGGGGTATGAACTATGAATGTCAGCATTTAAGTTAACCCCTGTCTATATTGGTTTCTTGTGTGCTAACCATTGCCTGCATATTCCATATCAACATTCCCATGGTGTCTGGAGGTTTTAAACAATAAAAGATCCCTAATGAACACTTGTTACAACTGTCATGACCATGCAATTTTAGTGGCACTGAACTTTGACACAAGTCATTTTGGAAAATAATGAGCCTACTGGCAGAGAATAGCCTGGTCCACCAATAGTCATTCTCCCCATCTCTAAAACAAAGCCCCGAATCTTAATTAGGCACATAGCCAACCTACAGACAACACTTTGTAGGCTTTCTGCAGCTTAATATGTGGCCATGTGACTAAATCTTGTAATGAAACATGAGTAGAATATGTGCCACTTCCAGGTCATACCCTACTAAGGAAGGTGTGGGTGTCCTCCTGCCATTTTGTTAGCAGTTGAAGATGTCCAGGTTCCTGGCATCT